ATGGCTGAATAATATTCCATTATGTGTAAGTACCACATTTTCTTTATCCATTCATCTGTTAATGGACACACAAGTTAATTCCATATCTTGGCTATTATGAATAGTGCTGCAACAAACATGGGCGTGCATATATCTCTTTCATATCCTGGTTTTCTTTCTTTCAGATATATAGGCAGCAGTGGGATTGCTAGATCATATGATAGATATAAATAGAGACAACAATTCAAAAAGTGAAAGAGATGGAGTTAAATTGAAGAGTTTTATTTTGTTTTGTTTTTCTCATTTCAAGTTTATTAAAACTTTAGCAGTACAAATTATCCAGATGGCAGATTATCAAAAGATCAACTAAATAAAATTCACATTTTTTTTAAAAAAAGGACAAACATAAAACAACCCAAAAACAATGAAACCAAAGCAGTCAGGACTATGAATTAAAGTTCTCAACATTGAGAAAGAAGGAGGATCAGAAGATCAGAGTCTCAGTGGTAAAAGAAAATCAAAACTCAAAAGGCCAAGAAAATACCACATACATGAAGAAATAAAAAAATTTGATAACGAATGAAGCCCTGGAACAGATGAAGACAAAAGTGGATGAGTAGGTTATATAAACTTTTTTTCATTCTGTTTCAAATTTTAAGTTTGAGAGACTTGCTAGTGAATGTCTTTTTATGTTGTTTTCCTTTTCATTGTTTATGAATACACAGTATTCCATGGTGCATATGTGCCACATTTTCTTTATCCAGTCTATCATTGATGGGCATTTGGGTTGGTTACAAGTTGTTGCTATTGTGAACAGTGCCACAATAAACATACGTGTGCATGTGTCTTTATAATGGAATGATTTATAATCCTTTGGGTATATACCCAGTAAAGGGATTGCTGGGACAAATGGTATTTCTGGTTCTAGATTCTCAAGAAATTGCCACACTGTCTTCCACAATGGTTGAACTAATATACACTCTTACCAACAGTATAAAAGCATTCCTATTTCTCCACATCCTCTCCAGCATCTGTTTGCTGATTTTTTAATAATTGCCATTCTAACTGGCATGAGATGGTATCTCAATGTGGTTTTGATTTGCATTTCTCTAATGGCCAGTGATGATGAGCTTTTTTCCATAAGTTTGTTGGCTGCATAAATGTCTTCTTTTGAGTAGTGTCTGTTCATATCCTTTGCCCCCCACTTTTTGATGGGGTTACTGGGTTTTTTTCTTGTAAATTTGTTTAAGTTCTTTGTAGATTCTGAATATTAGCCCTCTGTCAGATGGGAAGACTGAAAAATATTTTCCCATTTTGTTGATGGCTGGTTCACATTAGATCCCATTTGTCTATTTTGGCTTTTGTTGCTATTGCTTTTAGTGTTTTAATCATGAAGTCCTTGCTCATACCTATGTTCTGAATGGTATTGCCTAGGGTTTTTCTAGAGTTTTTATGGTGTTAGGTCTTATGTTTAAATCTTTAATCCATCTGGAGTTAATTTTTGTATAAGGTGTAAGGAACGGGTTTAGTTTCAGCTTTCTGTATATGGCTAGCCAGTTCTCCCAACACCGCTTATTAAATAGGGAATCTTTTTTCCATTGCTTTTGTCAAGTTTGTCAAAGATCAGATGGTTGTAAATGTGTGGCATTATTTCTGAGGCCTCTGTTCTTTTCTATTGGGCTATATCTCTGTTTTAGTACCAGTACCAAGCTGTTTCGATCACTGTAGGCTTCTAATATAGTTTGAAATCAGGTAGTGTGATACCTCCAGCTTTTTTTTTTTTTTTTTTTTGCTTTTCTTTTTTGGATTAGGATTTTCTTAGCTATATGGGCTCTTTTTTGGTTCCATAAGAAGTTTAAGGTGTTTTTTTCCAATTTTGTGAAGAAAGTCAATGGTACCTTGATGGGGATGGCATTGAATCTATAAATTACTTTGGGCAGTATGGCCATTTTCACAATACTAATTCTTCCTAACCATGAGCATGGAATGTTTTTCCATCTGCTTGTGTCCTCTCTTATTTCCTTGAGTAGTGGTTTGTAGTTCTCCTTGAAGAGATCCTTCACATCCCTTGTAAGTTGTATTCCTAGGTATTTTATTCTCTTTGTCACTCATGATTTTACTCTCTATTTGTCTATTACTGGTGTATAGGAATGCTTGTGATTTTTGCATATTAATTTTGTATCCTGAAACTTTGCTGAAGTTGCTTATCAATTTAAGCAGATTTTGGGCAGGGACGATGGGGTCTTCCAAATATACAAATATACAATCATGTCATCTGCAAATAGAGACAATTTGACTTCCTCTTATCCTAATTGAATACATTTTATTTCTTTCTCTTGCCTGATTGCCCTGACCAGAACTTCCAATACTATGTTGAATTGGAGTGGTAAGAGAGTGCATCCTTGTCTTGTGCCAGTTTTCAAAGGTAATGCTTCCAGTTTTTGTCCATTCAGTATGATATTGGTTGTGGGTTTGTCATAAATAGCTCTTATGATTTTGAGATATGTTCCACTGATAGGAGAGTTTTTAGCCTAAAGGGCTGTTGAATTTTGTCAAAGACCTTTTGTATTGTTTGCAATAGTTTCAGAAGGGATGATATCAGTTCTTCTTTGTACCTCTGGTAGAATTTGACTGCGAACCCCTCTGGTCCTGCAATTTTTTTGGTTGGTAGGCTATTAATTGCTGCCTCAATTTCAGATCTTGTTATTGGTCTATTCAGGGATTTGACTTCTTCCTGGTTTAGTCTTGGGAGGGTGTAAATGTTCAGAAATTTATCCATTTCTTCTAGATTTACTGGTTTATGTGCATAGAGGTGTTTGTAGTATTCGCTAATGGTAGTTTGTATTTCCATGGGACTGGCAGTAATATTCCCTTTATCATTTTTTATTGCATCTATTTGATTCTTCTCTCTTTTTTTTCTTTATTAATCTGACTAGTGGTCTATCTATTTTGTTGATCGTTACAAAAACCCAGCAATTCACTCATATTTTTTGAAGGGATTTTTGTGGTTCTATCTCCTTCAATTCTGCTCTGATCTTAGTTATTTCTTGTCTTCTGCTAGCTTTTGAATTCGTTTGAAATTTGCCCCTCTAGTTCTTTCAATTGTGACATTAGGGTGTCAGTTTTAGATCTTTCCACGTTTCTCTTGTGGGCATTTAGTGCTATAAATTTCCCTCTAGACCTTGCTTTAAATGTGTCCCAGAGATTCTGGTATGTTGTGTCTTTGTCCTCATTGGTTTTATTTCTGCTTTCATTTCATTATTTATCCAGTAGTCATTCAGGAGCAGGTTCAGTTTCCATGTAGTTGTGTGGTTTCAAGTGAGTTTCTTAATCCTGAGTTCTAATTTGATTGCATTGTGGTGAGAGACTGCTTGTTATGAGTTCCATTCTTTTGCATTAATGAGCAGTGTTTTACTTCCAATTGTGTGGTCAATTTTAGAATAAGGGCTATATGGTGCTGAAAAGAATGTATATTCCATGGATTTGGGGTAGAGAGTTCTGTAGATGTCTCTTAGATCTACTTGGTCCAGGTCTGAGTTCAAGCCCTGGATATCCTTGTTAATTTTCTGTCTCATTGATCTGTCTAATATTGACAGTGGACTGTTGAAGTCTCCCACTATTATTGTGTGGGAGTCTAAGTCTCTTTGTAGGTCTTTAAGAGCTTGTTTTATGAATCTTGGTGCTCCTGTACTGGGGGCATATATGCTTAAGATAGCTAGCTCTTCTTGTTGTATTAATCCCTTTACCATTATGTAATGCCCTTCTTTGTCTCTTTTGATCTTTGTTGGTTTAACATCTGTTTTATCAGAGACTAAGATTGCAACCACTGCTTTTTTTTTCCTTTCCATTTGCTTGGTAAGTCTTCCTCGATCCCTTTATTTTGAGCCTATGTGTGTCTTTGCACATGACATGGGTCTCCTCAACACAGCACACTGATGGGTCTTGACTCTTTATTCAATTTGCCAGTCTGTGTCTTTTGATTGGGGAATTTAGTCCATTTACATTTAAGGTTAATATTGTCATGTGTAAATTCAATCCTGCCATTTTGATACTATCTGGTTGTACATTCTTTTCTTTCTCTCAGAATTTTTTTTCTGTGCGAACTTTTGCTTTCTTGTTTCTGTATTTTTCTTTCTCTTTTGACTTTCTTCTGTCTCTGAGCTCCATGAATCTCTCCTTCTTCTCCTCCTATCTTCACTTCTTGATCTTCCTGGTGGTATCTCTCTTGGCTTTTTTATTTTTATTTTTTTTTGAGACAGAGTCTCACTCTGTTGCCAGCAAGGCTGGAATGTAGTGGCATGATCTTGGCTCACTGCAACCTCCACCTCTTGATTTCAAGCAATTCTCCTGCCTCAGCCTTCCAAGTAGCTGGAACTACAGGCACATGCCACCATGCCCAACTAATTTTTTTGTATTTTTAGTAGAGACAGGGTTTCACCATGTTGGCCGGGATGATCTTGATCTCCTGACCTCATGATTCACTTACCTCAGCATCCCAAAGTGCTGGGATTACAGGCGTGAGCCACTGCACCCAGCTCTTGCTTGGCTTTTGATGGTCCTCTTCTCCTGTATTCCTGTTCTGTGTATCTGTGGTACTCCTCGCTTCTGCTGCAATCTCTGTCATGGTTTCTCAATTGCACTCTTCTGCTTCTGTCCCTACCTCTGCTTTGTTCTCTTGTTCTGCTATTATAACTGTGTTTATTTTTAGTTATATTCACATTCTTTACTCCTGGATAGTGCACATCTATATTTTTCCTTACTTTTACTGTGATCATGCTTATTACTCCTTGATTCTAACTGTTTATACTTCTCTTTACTTCTACCCTTTTCCTGATCTTTTCCTTAAAAATCCATCTACTTTTCTTTTTCTTTAACATTTTCATGATCCCTTTCTTTACTCCTTGACCTCATCCTCTTTTCTTCATGTCTATTATGTTCTGAATTTCTTTCTTTCCTCTTTTATTTCTCTTTGCTCTTACTCTAACTTTTAGATTTGTCCCCTTTTTTTTACTTTGTTCTTATTATATTCATCATCTATTTCTGAATTTCTTCTGATATCTCTCTCTTTGCTGTTAGATTTACAGTTTTTTAACTTTCTTTTCTTTTTCATTTTTTCTGTTTGGACTCTCAAATACATTCCTTGATCAGTTATTTTTCTCTCTTTTATTCTAACTTGACTTCTCTAATTTTCTTTTATTTTATTCAACTCACTCTTATCCCCTTTAATCCAACTTTTACCACTTGATACCCTCAATCTTTGAGCTTTCTGCATTTCTTGCCTCCAATGTGGAAGAGTCTCACTAAATCTGAAATAATCACTTGATCTGGATCTGGAAGGAGTTCAATAACACATTGGTCCTATTCCATTAACTTTCCTGCCAGATCTAGAAACTGAAAGTCATCTCTGGTACAAGGCAGGATGGGAGTTAGATGGATTACACTTTCTTTCTCTTTCTCTCTCTCTCTGGCTTTTCCTTTCTGTTTCATCAGCTTTAGAAGGACTTTCTCATTAGGAATCTATTTGCAGGTATAGGAGGGATCCCTTCCGGATGGACAGTAGACTGGGGTTATGCTTCTAAATTTTCAGCTTCATTCTCACTAGATGCACTCTTCTTGCTTTTCTTTTGCTTCTTCTTTTCTTTCTTGTGTTTTTGGGAAGTTTTCCAATGTTTCCTCTTCTCTTTGATTTCTCTTCAGAAGCACATTTGGAATCTGAAGAGGACTGAGAATCACTTGAGCTATCTGAGTCACTAGATGAGGAGGAGGAAGATGATGATTTATGCCTTTTCTTTTATTCTTTCTTAACTTTAGGTTTGGAAATCAGTTCTCCATAACTGAGTATCCATACCTCCACAAACAGTTTGCTTGCTGCATCTGTCTTCTGGTTTTCCATCTCTCTTACAACTTCTTGGCCAAAGATTGCTTGTCCAAAAACAACATGATGCCCATCTAAATCAGGAGTTGGTTTCATTGTTATGAAGAGCTGTGAACCATTTGTATCCTTCCTTCTGTTGGCCATTGACAAGAGAAATTCTTTGTTGTGTTTAAGAGCAAAACTCCCATCTTCCAAAAATCCTCCATAGATAGATTCCCCCTTCTCAACCATTTCCTTCACTGAAGTCACTACCTTAAACCATAAAATCCTTGACAACTCTGTGAAAGAGAACTCTTGTAATGGAATGGCTTCTGAGTTGATATCCCTGTCCCCTTTTAACCTGTACAAAAATAGCTAAAGTTCTTGCATGTTTTGGGACACACATCAGAAAATAATTCAAAGACAACTCTTGCAGCAGGTTGACTGTTAATGGCAATGCCAAAAAAATCAAGGACATTGAACCTTTATTGTCATGCTTCCAACACTTAATCTTCAAATGAATAAAAGACCGAAAAACACCAAGGAGAACTGATCCCTTTGCTCCCACACAAGTAGAGTTTCTTCTTCTCTGGGTCTGGTCCTTTAAAGTGCTTCAAATCTACCACCAACAAAAAAGGCACTAAAGCCCACTAATTACCTCCTTCCCCTACAACTGAGTCCTAATTGTAGAGTATTTTTTTAGTTTTCTCTTTTTTTGCTTGTTTTTTCTGTTCTTTGTAATCACAGTTGTCATCAGTTTAAAATAATTGATTATAAGATGTTATTTGCAAGCCTCACATTAACCACAAAACAAAAACATATAATACACACAAAATAAAAAGCAAGAAATTAAAACATACACTTATAAAAAAATTACTTTTATGCAAAGGAAGTCAAGAAAAAAGGATAAAAGAAAGAAAGGATCAACAAAACAACCAGACAACAAATAAAATGGCAGTAGCAAGTTCTTAAATATCAATAGTAACATTTAATAGAAATGGGATAAATTATTAAATTAATCAAAAGACATGAAGAAGCTGAATAGGTAAAAAACAAAAAACAAACAATAAAAACCCAACTGTATGCTGCCTACAGGAAATTTACTTCATGTATAAAGACATAGAAGGGCTAAAAATAAAGAAATGAATAAAGATAATTCAGGCAAATGAAACCTGAAAAAGAGCAGGATAATAAGATATACTTATTAGACAACATAGCTTTGAAGACAAAAACTTTAAAAACAGATAAGGTCCTAATATAATGATAAGGGGTCAATTCAGCAAAGGGGATATAACAATTGTAAGTATATATGTGGAAAATACTTGAATTTAAAACACAAATAAAAGGAGCCTCAGAAATGGAAGAAAGGTAAAAATTGTAAAAAGACAGAAAATCTATAATTCAATAAATTTCTAATCAAAATTTTAACAGTCTCTGTAGAAATAGAAAAATGGATTCTAAAATTTATACAGAATAATTAATAAAAATTCTAAGTGAGAACCACTCAAATGAGAACAACCAAAGACTATTCATTTGGAGCTGGCTGTAGTAAGAGAGTCAGCCATCATGACTTGCATTTGGCAGAAACACAAAGGTAGGCAAGGGAGCTGGAATAGATATCACCATTAGAATAGCTACAATTAAAAAGCCCGACAATAGCATGGATTGGTGAGGATGTAGAACAAATGGAACTCTCGTAAAACAGCAGGAATATAAATACTACAAACACTTGGATATCAGTTTGGCAGTCTACTAAAAGTTTAACATAAATTTACTGTACCACCCAACTATTCTACTTCTAAATAGTTAGCAGAAGTAAAAATATATTTACACAAAATATTGTACATAAATGTTAATAGTCAATTTATTTTTAATTGCTAATAATTGAAGATAATTAAAATGTCTTTCAACAGACACATAGTGTGAAAGGAAAATAAATCTTGGGTTCCCAAAATCAATAAGCTAAAGGGAAAAGTCAAGATGGGAACAGTGTAGGGCAAGCCTACCTCCAATTCTATTTAAAGTCATCCAACTGCTCACTGAGATAAATGCACTTTTGATTGCCTCCTTTGGAAAGACTAATCAGAAACTCAAAGAATACAACTGTTTTTTTCTGACCTACCTGTGGCCTGGAAGACCCATCCTTGCTTCAAGTTCTCCTGCCTCTCCAGACCAAACCAATGTTCATCTTACATATTTTGATTGATGTCTCATGTTTCCCTAAAATGTATAAACCCAAGCTGTGCTCTGATAACTTTGGACACATGTTGTTAGGACCTCCTAAGGCTGAATCACAGGTGCACATCCTCAACCTTGGCAAAATTAAGTTTCTAAATATTTTTGTTTATCTATTGTTAAATTTTTAATTGTATTTTTTGTTTATTCTAAAATTTTCTGGTTTATCTATTGTGAACCCCAAATATCTGAGATATTCTGAGAATCTCAGATATTTGGGGTTCACAATAAACAAAATGTGATTTTTCATACAATAGAACATTCTTCAACAATCAAAACAACATATATGACAAATTCTGAATTAAAGGCTCTATATGGCATGAACTCTAAAATTGACCACATAATTAGACATAAAACAATTATCAGCAAATGCAAAAGAACTGAAATGATACCAAACAATCTCAGGTCATAACACAATAAAAATAGAAGTCAAGACCAAAAAAATCACTCCAAACCATGCAATTACATGGAAATTAAACATGTTCCTGAATGACTTTTGGGTAAATAATGAAATTAAGGCAGAAATCACAAAGTTCTTTGAAAATAATGAAACAATGATACAACATACCAGAATATCTGGGACACAGCTAAGGCTGTGTTAAGAGGGAAATTTATAGCACTAAATGCCAACATCAAAAAGTGAGAAAGATCTAACTTCACAGCTGAAAGAATTAGAGAAGCAAGAACAAATCCACCCCAAAGCTAGCAAAAGATGAGAAGTAACCAAAATCAGAGCTGAACTGAAGAAAATTGAGACACAAAAAGCCATTCAAAAATCCAAGAATACAGGAGTTGGGTTTTTGTGAAGAAATTGATAAAATACATATACAAAATGAACCTCTAATTTACAATTACTAGGTAAAGATAGAACAGAGTGGAACAAAAACATAAATTCTGCAAGCAAAGGTAGGTGACTTCATACATAATCTCATGGTACAGCAGATTCTTTTAACTAAAACTAGAAAATAAAGTGTTCTAAAAACCATTTTTAGCCATATAAAAGTTCAAACATTTATAGCAAAAGACACTGTCTTAGTCCATTCCAGCTGCTATAACACAATACCAGAGATTGGGTGGTTTGTAAACAACAGACAGTTCTGGAGGCTAGACCAGGATCAGGACACTGGCAGATTTGGTGCTTGGTGAACACCCATGTCCTTGTTCACAGAGGGCCATGTTTTCACGGTGTGATCACATGGTTGGTGGAAGGGGTGAACAAGTTCTCCGGGATCTCTTTTATAAGGGCACAAATCCCATTCTTAGTGGGACTTTATACCTTCTTAAAGGGCTCATCTTCAAGCCCTTTATCATCACCTTAGAGATTTTGTAACAACCTAGGAATCTTGAGGATGCAAATATTTAGTCCATAGCAAATACTATAATCAAATTCCAATGCTGAAGAATGAAAATGGGTGCCTGTAATCTATTTTTAATCTCTTTTAGATTGATAAGAAGAAAAATTCCCAAGAGAAAAGTATGTGAGTTTGTGAATAGGAATTCACAGAAGGGCAAATCCAAGTAGCCAACAGAATGTAGAAAAAGGCTTAAAATCTCTACCAGTCAGGAACATGTGAACAACTGATACAACATCGAGTTATGATTTTATAAACATTAGACTGGCAAAAGACTAATAACAATTATTGTTAGTGGAGACTTGGGAAGGAAAAGTTTATTCTTGCACATGCTGGTAAATATAAATTATTCCTGTTTTTTTGGAGTACATTCTAGAAACATATATTAGAATTAAAAATATATATACTCTTGACTCAGAAATTCTACTCTTGGGAATTTGTTTCATAAAAATAAGTCTCACTATATAAAGATATTTATAAGGAGGAGGGGAAAGAAGATAAAACAAACCCTGGACAAAAACATCCACCAGTTGAAGAAAGACTGACAGAATTGTAACCATTCATACCATAAAATAGCATGTTGCCATCACAAGTAACCATTTAGAACTTCAACAAGATTTCACTGATGAAAATGAGATGCAGAAAGATCTGTGTATAAGTCAAGAATGTGTTTGATTGTAAAGAAAAGAAAATTCAGTGATCATGGTTTAAGCAAATTGGGGTTTATTTTGGAAATTCAAAGGTCAGCAGTTGCTGGTATTGAAAATGCTATCAGGCATTCAGCCTGGTATTTCCATCATTCCACCATTCACATTATAGCTTTTATTCTCACATGCATTCCATCATGGTCCAAAGATGATATTGTCATTTCAGGTTTCATTTCCACTTTCCAAGAAGGATCAAGGGACAACAACAACAGCACCAGCCAAATGTATTCCATTTATCAGGAAAGACAACTTTCCTAGAAATCCTTGCAACAGATTTCCTGCTGGGTATAGTTGATCGACACAGGGACATTTGCTTACCCTATCCCTCAACACCAGAGACATTTGCTGTGGCTTCACATGTTAAGCTTTCCAGCCTCTGTTGGTAAAGGAAGGTCTGGGAAAAGATATTTTAGAATTTGTAAATATTGTAAAAATATGTTTTTATACTATAATCTTATTTTTATAAATCAATGACAAACTCTATGAATATGCATATGTGGTTTTGTCTATGATTATATGATCTTGAAGGAAAATATCGACACATATACACTCAGCCTTTATGTGGATTTCCTCAAGACAGGTAATATGGATAGAGAAGGCATGAAGAGAGAAAGCAACCCCCAAAACAATTGTTAATTATGTTGTGATCTTAGGCATGTATTTAAATAAAATAAGGTATATACAAATATTTTCAAATATTTCCAGGATATCTTTAAAGATAGTAATTTATAGCACAGTGTACATAATGTGGACCATTTTATTGTTATAAAATTCATAAACTTATATGTGCCTGGAAAAATAATAATATCTAATATTCATTGAGCTCTTATTTTGTGCCATATACATTTATACAAATGACATACCTCTTTTAATCCTCTCGACAATGCTATAAATAACTGCTGTTATCCCCACTCTAAAGATATGAAAACTAAGGCTTAAAGGAGTTTAGCGGCTCACCCAAATAACATAACAGGTGAGTGAAAGAACATATATCACATTAACATCACTCACCACTGGAAGTGGAATAAGGATAGGGCTGGGGAAAGAGGAAAAGAGGTATACAGTTTTCCCTTTATTTACACAGAACCTTTTTGCTATTTCACAATGAGTTTGTGTTTTTTAAACAAGTTGAAATTTCAAAGAAAATTGACCTACACTTAACCATAGAAGTGAGAAAATTTTGATTTCCTTTTTTATACTA